AATTTGTGCAGGATTGTCTCACCACTTCTGCTTGAGCCATTTTTACTACTGAATAGGTTAAAAACATATTCTAGGAGTCCCAGTGCTTACTATTTATCACAATATAATCCTTTATGCTGCTTCCAAGTGCCTGTGTTGAGCAAAAGAGCCTTCATTGTAGTCCATATCTTGCCATGTTGGCATTAGATTGCAAGGGGGTTCACAATCTTTTCCTTATGTGCTCCCAATTAATTGCTCCAAATTAGGGGCAGAATAGTACACACAATTTGAGTGTGTTAATATTGTGAGCTGCTGGATTTACAAATTCACTATATTGCCAAAAGTATTGGGACGCCTGCCTTTACATGCACATGAACTTTAATGGCATCCCAGTCTTAGTCCGAAGGGTTCAATATTGAGTTGGCCCACCCTTTGCAGCTATAACAGCTTCAACTCTTTTGGGAAGGCTGTCCACAAGGTTTAGGAGTGTGTCTATGGGAATGTTTGACCATTATTCCAGAAGCGCATTTGTGAGGTCAGGTAATGATGTTGGGTGAGAAGGCCGGGCTCTCAGTCTCCACTCTAATTCATCCTAAAGGTGTTCTATCGGGTTGTCAGGACACTGTGCAGGTCAGTCAAGTTCCTCAACCCCAAACTCGCTCATCCATGTCTTTTATGGACATTGCTTTTGTGCACTGGTGCGCAGTCATGTTGGAACAGGAAGGGGCCATCTCCAAACTGTTCCCACGAAGTTGGAAGCATGAAATTGTCCAAAATGTCTTGGTATGTTGATGCTTTAAGAGTTCCCTTCACTGGAACCAAGGGGCAAAGCCCAACCCCTGCAAAAACAACCCAACACCATAATCCCCCCTCCACCAAACTTTACATAGTTACATAGTATTTGAAGTTGAATAAAGACATAAGTCCATCAAGTCCAACCTATTTGTGTGTGTGTGTGTGTGTGTGTGTGTGGGGCACTTGGCACAATGCAGTCAGGCAAGTACCGTTCACCTGGCACTCGCCAAACCCAGACACGTCCATCGAATTGCCAGACAGAAGCGTGATTTGTCATGCCAGAGAACACGTCTCCTCTAGAGTCAAGTGGCGGCATGCTTTACACCACTGCATCCGACATTTTGCATTGCACTTGGTGATGTAAGGCTTGGATGCAGCTGCTCGGCCATGGAAACCCATTCCATGAAGCTCTCTGCGCACTGTTGTGCCAACCTCAAGGCCACACGAAGTTTGGAGGTCTGTAGCTATTGGCTCTGCAGACAGTTGACGACTTCTGCGCACTGTGCGCCTCAGCATGCGCTGACCCTGCTATCATTTTATGTGGCCTACCACTTTGTGGCTGAGTTGCTGTTGTTCCCAGTTGCTTCCACTTTGTTATGATACCACTAACAGTTGACCGTGGAATATTTAGCAGCAAGGAAATTTCACAGATGGACTTATTGCACAGGTGGCAACTGATCACGGTACCACGCTTGAATTCACTGAGCTCCTGAGAGCGACCCATTCTTTCACAAAATGTTTGTAGAAGCAGTCTGCATGCATAGGTGCTAGATTTTATACACCGGTGGCCATGGAGGTGATTGGAACAACTGAATCCAATGATTTGAAGGGGTGTCCCAATACATTTGGCAATATAGTGTAAGTTTCCTCTGATAGCAAACAGGATCGGTGGAATTAATAGTTGGCCATGTTTAATTATTCTAACTGCTCCTTGTTGTAAAACATGAGGTAAAGTGGGCTAAAAATCTCTGCATAGAAGACAGCATGTTCTTTATTAAAACAGAAAGCAGTCACATTTTGTTACTATCTCTTGGTGAGTGGAGACATGCCATTGTTTATCTCTAAAGCCAGCTCCACATTCTGAAACCCAAAGTGTTTAAATGTTTGTAAAATGGTATAAAATTTATTTCAGTACAGCGTTGCATGGCTGAATAAATGTCAAAGTACCGCAGTGCTGAATACTGAAAATGGCCTGGACAGGAAGGGGGGTTTAACACCTCGGTCATCAAGTGGTTAAAGTGAGGGGAAAATCTGCAACACCAACACATGCAGAATTTATTTATTTCATTGGAATAAAGAAAATATGCATTCCTTTCCATCCCGTTTCCATATGCATCCACTCCCATTAGAGCAAGCGGTCCATCCAGGTTACAAGGACTGAAAAGGTAAGTACTGATCTGTGGCGGGGGAGGGTCAGCCTTTTCAGCCAGGGTGCTATTGAAAGAAAAATGTGTGTACATTGTTTGAATGTACTCCATCAGGCAGCGCGGAATAGGGGCACATACAGCATGGTATATGGAATAAGGCATTGCAGAATAGAAAACGTACAGCATGGCATATTGAATAAGGTGGTGATGATAGTGATGTTCAGAATGGCATATAGAATGCACCAGTGCAGAATAGGGATTGTACAGAAGGGCATACAGAATGAGCCACTGAAATAGTGAATATACAGCATGGGATATATATTTGAGTGTGGAGGAGCAGTAATGTATACATACAGTCACAGCTGGTCTTTACCATTGTTTGGTGAAAGAGCAGAAAATATGTTGAATATGCTGAACTTCCATAGTTACATAGTTAGTCAGGTTGAAAAAAGACACAAGTCCATCTAGTCCAACCTATAGAGATACAAAGAAAAAAAAAGAAAAGCCTGACGAACGCTATGCCCACAATTACCCAATGTTGATCCAGAGGAAGGCAAAAAACCTATAAAGCATGGTTCAATTTGCTCCAACAGGGGGAAAAAAATCCTTCCTGATCCCATAAGGCAATCGGATATTCCCTGGATCAACAATCTCTGATGCTTAATATACCTCTAAGAACTCAATATCCAGTAATATTCTGTGCATTTAGGAATACATCCAGAATTTAAAACAATTAACCGAGCTAGCTAGAACAAGCTCCTGGGGGAGTCTATTCCACATTTTCACAGCTCTAACTGTGAAAAATCCTTTCCGTATGCAAAGGTTAAACCTCTTTTCCTCCAGACGCAAAGATTGCCCCCTTGTCCTTTGCAGTGAACTTAATGTAAATAATTTGGCACCAAGCTCTTTATATGACCATTTTATTTTACTGTGCTGATTTAATTTCTCAAGTGATTCAGTGATGTATAGCATTTTAGTTTGCTGAAAAAACGTTCTCCTCTCTACCATTATAATTTGACTCAGGGAAAAGGTCCATTAAAAAAACCTTGTTGCTCAAAGCATAAATCCATGAAACTATTTTATTTAAAAAAACTCGCATTACATAGATGCGCCACTGCATTGTGTATGGACGCATATACGGAGTCGCGACGGGTGCTCAGCGAGCCACTACAAGGTTTCTCACACTTCTAGTGGATCACGGTTCGTTTAAAATAGCACAGATAGTAGAGGCATTATACTATGTATTCATGTGTTCAGTACTCTCCCTAAAGCACTCTGACATGTGTTGACACTAAGGATGCACCGAAATGACATTTTTTTTTCTGAAATAAAAAATGAGTCCCACCGAAAATTACTTTTTTTTCCTCCCCCCAACCATTTTAAAAGGTTTAAAATTATTTTATATTTTTTTCAATTTTTTTTCTACTTTTACTGTCGGGGTCTTTGGGGGAGATATCAGGGGTCTAAACTGACCTCTGATATTTCCTTTTTAAAATTCAAAACAGAGATTGAGGACACAGTCTTAAATCTTTTTCTGCAGCTCATGTTATGAATGAACAGGAAGCCTCTATACGGAGTATATCTGGAAAAAATAAGTCAAGGCAACTGGACTTGCTGTATTTTCCTTTAACCACTTGCCGTCCGCCCATTGTAAAAGAACGGACGGCACTGCAGCATTGGTGGGTTATTTTTTTCTGCTCGCGCGTGCGCCCCCTAGCGGGCACGCACGGGCAGAAAAGACCCGACCAATGCAAACACCCGTTACCGGGTGTTTCACATATAGACGATTGGCGCCCCCCCCCGACCTATCACCTTCAATCCCGGGATCCGCGGCCCGGGACCAGCTCGGAGGGCGTCAGGAGGAAGAGGAAGGGATCAGCTCCTTGCTGACCTCCCTCCAAGCTGTGAATGCAGAAGTGATGTGTGTTGCATTCACCTGTCAGTCATCTGGCTGCTATAGCCAGAGAAAAGAAGCTGATGAAGCAGATCTCTGCTTCATCAGCTTCTTTTTGGGTCCACAGGTGACATTAGGGGTCCTAGAGACCCCTAATGTCTCCATAAAGAGGACCTGTCAGTGTGCCTTTGCTATTATATAGGGGATTGTTATCCCCCTATATAATATATAAATAATAAAAAAAAATAAGTCGCATATAAAAAAGTAAAATAAAATAAGTCACATAAAAAAAGTGGGAAAAAAACCCCCAAAATGTTTTAACTGCGGATGTCAACTGGTTAAAGACATTTCACTGGTCATCCAACCAGCTTTCTCAATTCAGAATGGCTTGTATTCTGAATTGAGAAAGCTGGTAGGATGACCAGTGAAACATCTTGAAGGAAAATACAGCAAGTCCAGTTACCTTGACTTATTTTTTTATAGATATACCATGATATCCAGCCTGACTCACCTGTCATAGGAGACCCAGTGGGGCAGTAAGGGAGGACAGCTGGGCCTCCTGTAACGGCTGACAGCTGTCTCCTCCCTGCACCGCCCCGCTCGGCATCCTGACAGCTTCTTTCCTCCAGCTTGGCGTTGGTCTGTGTCCCCTCCGATACCCGGGGATGGGACAGCTGTCAGATGTCACAGAAGGCCGACAGGCCGGGGAGATCACCGGGGATTAAAGGAGATGCAGATTGGCGCCCAGCGGGGAGATAAGAAGCAAGGGATGCACTGCATTTTCAGTCATTTTGGTACTATCAACATTTTGCCCATAGTACCATTTTCGGATGAAATTTTTGTGTATCCCTAGTTGACATCTCTTAAGTGTAAATTATTGTGTCAATGACTATATATATACTCTGTGGCTCTATATGGTAAAATATATGTGGACCTTATACCTTATTTTTTGCTTTTACTTACAGATTATAAAGCTGATGGACGCAAAGAGATCACAGGCTGTAGGCATTCTAATATCAAGTTTACATTTAGATATGAAGGATATACAGCAAGGTAAGCGGCATTAAGGGGCACATTAATGTTACTGAACTGTGGGGGGGATGCATGTATGTATATGTTTGTGAGGATCGATATATCTAATATATATTGTGCGTGTATGTAGCGTACGTATATATGATACTACGGTTTAATTTTTTTTTTTTCCTCAGTCTACACTCTGTACCCAATAATGACAAAGTGAAAACAGAATTTTTGAAATGTCTGTGAATGTATTAAAAAGAAGAAACTGAAATATCACATGTACGGAAGTATTCAGACCCTTTACTCAGTACTTTTGAAGCACCTTTTGGAAACAATTACAGCCTCGAGTCTTTTTGGGTATGATGCGACACACTTTGCACACCTGGATTGGGAGATTTTCTGCCATTCTTCTTTGCAAATCCTCTCAAGCTCAGTCAGGTTGGATGGCCATTTTCATATCTGTCCAGAGATGTTCAATAGGGTTCAAGTCAGGGCTCTGGCTGGCCCATTCTAGGACATTCAGTTTTCCCTAAGCCACTTCTGTGTTTTCTTGGATGTGTGCTAAGGTTTGTTTTCATGGTGGAAAGTGAACCTTCGGCCCAGTCTGAGGTCCTAAACGCTGTGGCACAGGTTTTCATTGAGGATATTTCTGTGCTTTGCTCCATTCAGCTTTCCCCTCACCAGTCTCCTAGTCCCTGCTGCTGAAAAACACCCACAGCATGATTCTTCCATCACCATGCTTTAGTGTTGGCATAGTATTGGGCAGGTGATGAGCGGTGCCTGGTTTCCTCCAGACATAACGTTTAGGCCCCATTCACACGGGAATCGGCCAGCACGTACAGCTCCGTGCTGTGTGCACGGCCGCATCGTGCAGCTCCCGTGATGAACAGGTGCTGTGTGTGATTTAGTACGCATCCCATGTCCTTCTCTATTGGACTACGCGGCCATACGCCCCCCTACGCTCACCTCAAGTGCAGGTGTGTGTTTCCTGGCTCGGACGCAGACGGGATCCATCCTGTCAGCGTACGAGAATGCTCACACGCGCAGACGTGCACTTGAGGTGAGCGTAAGGGGGCCTATGGCTGCGTAGTCCCATAGAGAAGGACAGGGGCTGCGTACTAATCACACGCAGCACCTGTCCTTCCCGGGACCTGTACGTGCCGGTCGATTCCCGTGTGAATTGAGGCCAAACAGTTCAATCTTGGTTTCATCGGAGCAGAGAATTTTGTTCCTCACAGGTGTCCCATCAGGTGCTTTTTTTTTTTTGCAATCTCCAAGCGGGCTTTCATGTGTTTTGCACTAGTAGAGGCTTCTGTCTATCCACTCTGCCATAAAGGCCAAATCGGTGGAGGGCTGCAGTGATGGTGTTCCTTCTGGAACTTTGTCCCATCTCCACAGGATCTCTGGAGCTCAGTCAGAGTGATCATTAGGTTCTTGGTCACCTCTCTTACTAAGGCCCTTCTCCCCCGATTGCTCAGTTTGGCAGGGCAACCAGATCTTGGAAGAGTCCTGTTTGTGCCAAACTTCTTCCATTTGAGAATTATGGAGGCCACTGTGCTTTGAGGAACCTTCAGTGCAGCAGAACATTTTTGTTGCCTTCCTCAGATCTGTGCCTCTGAGCTCTGTTCCTTTTGACCTCATGGCTTTTGCTCTGATACACTATGCATTGTTAGCTGTGAGGTCTTCTATAGAGAGGCGTGTGCCTTTCCAGATCATGTCCAATCAATGTAATTTACCACAGGTGGGCTCCAATCAAGGTGTAGAAACATCTCTGCAATGATCAAGAGAAATGGGAGGCACCCGAGCTGAATTGCAAGTGTTGTTGCAAATGGTCTCAATACTTATGCCAATGTGATATTTCAGTTTTTACTTTTGCAAACATTTTAAAAATTCTGTTTTCAGTTTGTCATAGGGTACTGAGTGTAGATTAAAAAGAGAGAATTTAAACAACTGTAGTATCAGGCTGCAACATAACAAAATTGACAAAAGTGAAGGGTCTGATTATTTTCTGAATGCAGTGTGTGTGGTTTTTTCTAATGGTTTTTTTTTAAAAACAATTGTATGTATTATATTAGACTTTTTTTAATTAGTTTCATGGATTTAAAATGTGAATTGCAAAACCCTAGGCCATAATAATAATTAACCAAACTTTTATTTAAAATGACTTATTCTTATTTTTAATTTTAGTTTGTTTATTTTTTTTATTTGTTTGCATTTTTATTTTACTTTTTCTCACTTTTTATAATTTTTGTCTTTAATTTTAGTTTGTGTGTGTGTATAAAATGTAAAAAAAAACAACAAATTGGATAATTACATTGAAAGCTTCCGAGACTACTGGACTCAGGGCCCGTTCACACCAGATCAGTGCGTTCTGGCCAGAATGCACTGCCTCGCATTGCGGACAGCTCACTTTCATGCCTGCGGTCCGGTCCAATCAAAATAATGCTTGCAGCATTTTGACAGGACCGCAAGCATAATGTGCCTTGCGATCCCGTGAGGCCGATCGCATTGCAGCCGGAGGGTGTGTCTATGATGCCATTCACTTCAATGTCCCGCCACACTCCCTCCAGCCCCACAAAAGAGTGAGCCGGCCGCAATGCGTGGCAGTGCGGTCGGGCCAGAATCGGGCAGGAACACACTGCATCTGGTGTGAACGGGCCCTCATATGGCTTACCCATTTACATTACAGTGAAGTTGGAACTTATCTGCATACTTGATTGACTTTAGTGATTGCAAAGTATTGAAAATACTGAGCCACACAGCTAGCAAACTGGTATTTCAATTAGTGGTCATTTAATAATGTGGCATGAAAACAAAATGTGCTTATGTAGGTTTGCAGCAACCATTTGGAGCTCCCTTCATTCAATTAAGCACATTAACTGCACTAATTCTGGTTGCCAATGGTTACCACCAATTGGATATATGTATGCAGGTTATGTAAGTGTAATTTCAAACATAGTGCAAATGTATACACATTCGGCAACTGAGCTGGCCGTGGGAGGTGTTTAGGGGGTGAGGCTTGCAGTGGAATGCTTAATGTTTATGAAATTGCACTTACAACTTATGTTCAACTGTTTTCACGCTATCTGTACCATTAAATGTGCTCATGGTAGAAAGTATTAAGCTGTTCAGCAGCAGTTCATGAGGAGAAGGTGTGTGTGTTTTTAAATCCTCACCTACTGGATGCAGCTCAATCTGCATCCTATTACTTCTGAACTGACCCCTGCCTTTGAGGTTTAGTGCTTGTTAGTTCAGGGGGCACCTAAATGGAAGTATTACTGTGGCTAGTATATGTTTTACACTGCTTTCCCCTCCAGTCCCTCTGGGAATTAGCACTCCCACCCCCTTTGCTCTCTCGCTGCTCATTATTAAGGCTTTAGCTACTTTTTAATTAGTTTAACACGTTGAGTTTATGCCTACTTGACCAAAGAAGAGCTCTCGGGGCCCCTCACTCAACAAAATCTTATTTGTGGAATTTTCCAATATTCGCCTGTGGTTTAAACAACTGCTTTTCCTTCTCTGACATGCCTAGTACAAAACGTGTTTTTAGCCTCTTGAATTTACTTTACAACAGTGTTTTCCCAAACATCTGCCCCATTCAACAGGGAATTTTGTACAATGCTTTCATACCTTTTTGAAATTGTGGTCTTAGTTGGTTCCGGCCTGGCTACAATTGATATGTTGTGTCTTTTAGGCTTATTGAATAAGGCAGTGCAAAGTTAGTGTTCAACAGCCAAATGATCTTCTTTTACTGGTATGAGTACTATAAACGGAAATCTGGGGTCCTGCGGTCACTGCACTCTGTGCATAGCCCTTGCATTTGTTTGTCTTGTGTTGAAGGAAATGCATAGTAGTTTTACAATAGTTCTCAACAATGGCCTGGACTAAAAAAGTAGTTTCGATCTTGGTCATTAGGGGAAACGGGATCAGTAGTTATTCTGTGACAAATGGGCTATACTGCCACCATCAAGAGATATTGAAAAATAGAAAAACAAAAAGTTGGCCAGCCAGGTATAACTTCTCCCATTCCCAGGATGTGTCAGTTTTTTTTTTGGTTTTGTTCTAGGAGAGGGAGAAAAGTTTACTCCTCCTTTTTTTTTATTTTATAGCCACTCCCCCCCCAGTATGATTTTGCTGCAGTTAAAGGAGAACTATGAGGCGAGTGAAAATCACTCAGCCTCATAGTTCTAGCCGACCTGGGACAATTAAACTGTCACAGGTCGGCTCAATAGATCGGGAAGTGAGCGAACACATACTGTTGCTCGCTCACTTCTCGATCCTGTGCCTGCAGAGAGCTGTCACTCACAGCTCCCTGCAGGGATTTCCCCCCTTCCCTGTCCAATCCTCCAGTGCTGACTGGCGGAACGGACGGGGAGGGG